CCCCCCCCCCCCCCTGCCTTTGCAGCCCGAGGTGATGCACATCCACCCGGAACCGAGAGCGGAAGCGAATAACAAGGTCCTGACGGCCTACATCGAGGGCGGCGAGCCCACAGAGACTCCCATGCGCGTGGCCGGCCTCACGGGAGCGGGGCAAGTGATCGGGGTCACCGACACGGGCCTTGACGACAACTCTTGCTTCTTCAAGGACGTGGACGGCTCCGTCCCTAGGTGAGGCCCGTGGTGCATGGCACGAAGGGGGCGGTGTGATGAAGTTCAGAGAGGCGGCGGCGGTAGGCGCGGCGGTGTTTGATATGTCATGCCTATGATGTCGTTGATGGAGTCTAGTCGATGCTGTCTGATTTCTTGGCGTACAGTATCCGATCGTCTCGGATGCACCCGGGGCATGATACTAAAAGTATTGTTATCCTTGCGCCGTTTCGCCGGTTCTTAAGCGATGCTATACGCGAGGGTTTCGCTTTTCCCTCTCCGCAACCACTGAAAAATCTACCGATACAATGATGTCCCAGTCCAAAGGGTTCTTTTTTCTATTTACAACAGCGAAAGATATCCGTGTGTCTCGTTTGGAATCAATCCCCAGGACAACCATGGAGGCCGCCGAGTTCTACCCCGACCAAAGGAAGGTCATTCAGTACGTGGTGTTCGCGGACGACACCGACACCGACGGCCACGGCACACACGTCGCCGGGATCGCCGCCGGAAAGGTAGGGATGCGGTACGGTATTACGGCATGGTAATACGGTACAATAATGTTAGTACGACGGTATGGTCCTCACGGTATGGTCCCGTTACTTTTAAAGCGCGGTCGCGAGGCGTACGCGAAGAGGGCGCGGACGGTATCGTGCGTGGCGGTACTGGGACGGTGCGTGGTGCGCGTTAATGCTGTGGCAGAGCTGGGGTGGGGATGCGATGAGTAAGGGGACGGCCACGTTTAAGGTACAAGTACTGCGTTGTTGGGCAGCCGCGGGAAAACCCATGAGTTTTTTGCGTTCGTTTTTTTTTTCGCGGCGCCGACAAGAACGACGAGGGTCAAAGCGCTCACAAGCACTGGCTCGTTTTTTTAAATTGTTTCACGTGCAGAGGACTGCGAATTGTGCCGGTAGCGTTCTGTGTGTTTTTTTGCTGTCCACACTGTGGGTTCGCACCAATATTTTTCGCTTTTGCTGACAGAAAACACCATGTACTAAAATTTGCCACATGCTTGTCAAGATCTCGTGAATGGGTGACATACATGTTTTGACGACCTTTTCGTTTTTTGCTCTTGGATTACCATGTCGTCTCCGCCATGTCACCACCTCAGCACCCCTTGGTGTAAAACCATCGCGCCGTTCTGGTTATTGTTTCTTAAAGGTGTATGACGACTGGGAAGCGGCTTGGGCGGGAGACGTCTCGAAGGAGTTGTGCGAGGAGGCCGGTCTATTCATGTCCTGCTTCGGGGACTGCGTCGCGGGGACGATGGGGGGGTCGTGTCACTGGAACCCCGAGCTGTCGTGTCCCCTATCTGACTGTGACGTAGACGCGGTGAGTCTCTTGTTTGTCT